CTGCCCTCTCGCAGGGCCCCGTGTCCAAACCCAAGAAAAAGCGGGAGAAGAGGAAGAGGAAGAAGTCGGAGAAGCACAAAGGGAGGGACGAGGAGACGAGGGCGAGGCAGGCGCAGCTCCGGAGGGCCCGGAAAGCCGGAGGCGGCGGCGGATCCAAGTGAGGGGATGGTGGGAATGGTGGGAAGGAGGCCCGGGGAGGGTGGGGCAAAAGGGTTCTGGGAGTTGGGATCGGGGTTTGGGGTGTCCGGATGGGGATTTGGGGAGGCAGGATGGAGGTGCTGGATGCTGGGATGGGGTTCATGTTGTTGGGATAGGAATTTTGGGAGTTGGGATGGGAGTTCAGGGTGCTGGGAAGGAGTTCCAGATGTTAGGATTGGGGTTCTGTGTGTTGGGATGAGAATTTTAGGAGCCAGGATGGGGTTTCTGGATATTGGGATGGGGGTTCAGGATGCTGGAATGGGGGATGTGGACATTGGGATGGGGTTCAGGATGCTGGGTTCTGGATATTGGGATGGGGGTTCCAGGTATCGGGATGGAGGTTTTGGATGTGGGGATGAGAGTTCAGGAGGTAGGGATGGGGGTTCTGGATGCTGGAATAGGGTTTTGGATGTCGGGATGGGGCTCCAAAATCCGTGTGGGACCACCCCAGGCTCCCTGGGAACCACAAAACCCCAGCAGGGCCCACGCCAACGGAGCCCCGGGTGCTTCTTCCCCCCAGGAATTCCAAGAAATCCGCCAAACCTGCCTTGCCAGCCCCTCCATCCCTCTACGATTCCGAGGAAGAGGAGGAATCCAAACCCATGACCTACGACGAGAAGCGCCAGCTGAGCCTGGACATCAACAAACTTCCCGGGGAAAAACTGGGAAGGGTGGTGCACATCATCCAGTCCCGGGAGCCTTCCCTGCGGGATTCCAATCCCGAGGAAATTGAGATTGACTTCGAGACCCTCAAACCCTCCACGCTGAGGGAGCTGGAGCGTTACGTCCTGTCCTGCCTCCGGAAAAAGCCCCGGAAACCCTACAGCGAGAGTGAGTTTGGGGGAGGCCCAGGGAGCTGGGGGGGCAGAGGGGGTGTGGATCCAGTGGGATTTTCCTGGGGTTCTTCTTGTAGCCATGAAGAAGCCGGTGGGGAAGACGAAAGAGGAGCTGGCACTGGAGAAGAAGAGGGAGCTGGAAAAGCGTCTCCAGGACGTCAGTGGGCAGCTGAACTCGGCCAAGAAACCCCCCAAGAAGGGTCTGGAATCTTGGGAATGGGCACTGGGATGTTGGGATGGGGGTCTGGGACGTTGGTTTGGGGGGTGGGGTGTTGGGATTTGGGGCTGGGATGGGGTTCAGAGTGTTGGGAGGGGGGTTGGGGTGGGATGTCAGAGCTGAACTCAGCCAAGAAACCCCCCAAGAAGGGTTTGGAAATTTGGGAATGGGCATCAGGATGGAGGTCTGGGATGTTGGGATGGGGGTGGGATGGAATTTCAGGTGCCAGGATGGGTTTCTGGGGTGCTGATCCCGCTGGATCCTGCCACTCATTCCCAGTTTCCCCCCCGCAGCCAATGAGAAGCCGGAATCCGCCCAACAAGTGGCAGCTTCCCGACTTTCCGCCTCCAGCTCCAGCTCTGATTCCAGCAGCTCCAGCTCCTCCTCCTCCTCCTCCGACACCAGCGACTCGGATTCCGGTTAGTTGGGAATTCCCAGGGATTCCCAGGAATTCCCGGGCTCCGCAGGACCGGACCCGAGTCCCCCCCCCGGATTTTGGGGTGACTCCCACCCCCCTCCAGCACCGATGGACTTTGGGAATGTGGGAGAAGAGGGGGGAGGATCCCATGGGATGAGGTTGAGAATTTTGGGATTATCCCGTTTTCCTCCTCCAGTGAAATTTTACTGTTTGTTTTTGGGCTTTTTGTTGATTTTTTTGTTTTGTTCTGTTTTGTTTTTTTTTTTTTTT